AGAATAAAATTAAATGATGATGAGATGAGGATTAAAAAAAGCAGTGTGAAGAGGGTTATATGTGTAGTTTTTTTTATTAATTAATACAAAAAGCCTAATTATTTAAATAATTCATTAAAGTAAAGGTTTCTTCTCTTTCGTCTTTTTCTTCGTCTGCTTCCCTCAGACAACCTAATTAATTATTTAATTCATTCTAAAATACAGTCAAATCTCGACAACACGTCAACCACCACTCCTTTTTACTTCTTAGCAACTCGGTACCAGAGGTGACATATCAACTAAATTCGACTGACCCTTTTGTACATATAAAAGAAAAAACTTGGGGAAGGGCAAATAGGCCTTAAGTGATTGGGCTTCCCAGAATATTTTATATTATAATCCAATAAAGTACAAAATAAGACGAAATGACTGAAAAAGGGGGATATTTATGGGAGCGATAGAGGGCGGAAGAGTTAATTAAATTAAAGAAAATTATGTACGATTTATGGGCAATAAATAATTAAATGTGAATATGTTTTAGAGCAATGTTTTAATTAATTAAATAGGGGCAAGTTTTGTAATTAAAAATGTTTTGAGGGAATAATTTGTGAGAAGCAGACAAAAACATTTTAAAAAATAGATAACAAATAAAAACATCAGAGATTAATTAAATTCTTATTTGAAGTTTGTTTTAAATTCTGGTTTTTGAAGAAAGAAAAAAATTTAAGATCAGAATTTAATTAAAACAAGTGTTTCAATTAAGTTCTGATTTAATGTTTGTTTTTATAAAATTCTGGTTTTAGTTTTGTTTAAATTATATTCTGATTTAATGTTCGTTTTTATAAAATTCTGGTTTTTAAATAGTTATGTTTTAATTAAATTCTGATTTGTTTAAAGTGTTTTAACTAAATTCTGATTTTTTGAAAAGAGAGAGGAACAAATTATAAATCAGAATTTAATTAAAACAAATGTTTAACTTAAATTCTGATTTAATGTTTGTTTTAAAATCTGGTTTTTAGCTTTGTTTTAATTGAATTCTGGTTTGAAGTTTGTTTTAATTAAATTCTGGTTTTAGTTCTGTTTTAATTAAATTCTGATTTTTTGAAGAGATAGAGAGAAACAAATTATAAATCAGAATCTAATTAAAACAAATGTTTCAATTAAATTCTGACTTTAAATTTTAATGTTTTAATTAAATTCTGATTTTTATCTATTTCTCTCTCTCTCCCATTTTCCTCTCTCAATTTAATGGCTCCTATACAACTCATCTAATCGTTAACTCATCTATTCGTTAACTCATCTACACGGCCAAAAAGGGATCAACTCATCTAATCGTTAACTCATCTATTCGTTAACTCATCTACACGGCCAAAAAGGGTTAACTCATCTAATCGTTAACTCATCTAATCCTTAACTCATCTACACGGCCAAAAAGGGTCAACTCATCCAATCCTTGGAAACGAGACTATTGAGTCTCCGGCCGGTTGAGTCCATGGCCAGTAGCAAATGGCCATGGACTCAACTGGTCATGGACTCAATTGGCCATGGACTCAACTGGCCATGGACTCAACTGGTCATGGACTCAACTGGCCATGGACTCAACTGGTCATGGACTCAACTGACCATGGACTCAACTGGTCATGGACTCAATTGGTCATGGACTCAACTTACCAGAGACTCAAACGGCGAGAGACTCAAACGGCGAGAGACTCAAACGGCGAGAGACTCAGACGGCGAGAGACTCAAACGGCGAGAGACTCAGACGGCGAGAGACTCAAACGGCCGGAGACTCATATGGCCAAAGACTCAAACGGCCGGAGACTCAGACGGCCAGAGACTCAGACGGCCAGAGACTCAAACGGCCGGAGACTCAATAGTCTCGTTTCCAAGGATTGGATGAGTTGACCCTTTTTGGCCGTGTAGATGAGTTAACGAATAGATGAGTTAACGATTAGATGAGTTGACCCCTTTTTGGCCGTGTAGATGAGTTAACGAATTTTAGCCGTTTAGATGAGTTGAACGTTTTTGGCCGTGTAGATAAGTTAACGAGTAGATGAGTTAACCGGACACGAATTTAATTCTTTTCCCTCATTTCCCCTTAAATTTTAATTAATTTCCCCTCTATATATTTTAATAAAACAAATTACGAAAAAATCCTTCAATTACGCCAAAACTAAATTAATTTTACTTCTTTTTTCTTCTTCTAATAATCTAAGCAATTAAGTATTGAAAACGACATTTAAAAATGAGAATAAAAAATAATTAAAATAAATATTTGGTGCAAATTAAGATTAAAATAAAAGATTTTTTTTTTATTTCGCAGCGCAAATATACACATTTTTATTTATTTTATAAATATTTTTTTAAAAATGTCTAAAGGCGTAAATGAGGAAAGGATGACGCTAATGAGTGTTTAATAACAAAATTAAAAAAATGGGAGGATGATTATGATTATTTAATTTTAAATTTAATGAAAATTGTAGAAATAAATGAGGAAAGTTGGGAAATTTTAGAAAATTGGCACAATGCCAAAAAAATTTTTTAATTGAAAATTTATTGTTAACCTATCGAAAATGACTATAGATCATATAAAATCGAGGAATTTTTAATAAAAAAAAATTAAATTGGCAAGAAAATAAAATTAATTTAATCAGAATAATTTAATTTTAAATTAAAGTTGATGTTACATTTTCGGCCATAAAAAGCCTATGCTTAATTTAAAAAATCTAAAAGTTTGGAATTATTTAAGAAACGTATTAAAATATATTTTTACAAAATTTTAGCTTTTTAAATTGAAGGATTTAATAAAATTAAAAGTTTTAAAGGCTTAAAGTTAAGGAGAAGTATTGGCTTATAATTAAGGAGAAGCACTAGACATAAGCTTTTAGTATATTAGTTAAAGAGTACTTGGAGGTTTGAAATTTTGCAGATATATTCTCAATAAAGTTAACTATATGTTTTAAAAATTTCAGAATTTTTTAAATAATATTTTTGGAGGTATGGACGGAAATACCAAAATATATGAGAAAAGTATCAATTTTTGGCTGTTTATTGGGTTAACTTTGTAAATATAAAACCAAAAATTCGGAAATTTATAGGAAAGTTAGTTGATACTCTTAAAATCATCAGTTTAAAATTTCAGAATTTCTGGTTAAATATATCTCAGAATATAAAATACCAGAATATATGAGAAAATTGACAATTTTTGGCTGCTTCTTGGGCCATAACTTTTGAAAAATAAAACTAAAAATTCTGAAATTTATAACGAAGCTAGATAACAGTCTTAAAACTATATGTGCGAAATTTCAGAATAATTGGGTTTTCCTTGACTAAATAATCGAAGCACGCGTTAATTGTCCCCTCAATTTTTACACACAAGACCCTCAATCTTTACCACAAGAAAATGAAAAAAAATTTTATTAATAAACCAAAATTATTTCTTTTAATATTCATTAAACCAAAAGGCTTTATGTATTCATTATAAATATTTAATTAATTTTTGAATAAATGTAAAGTATTAATGATAACAAGAATTAATTATAATTCTAAAAGATGCCTTAGAGGAAGGGTTGTTAGGACGCAGGACGTGGCACGAGGTTATTTTAATTAGTCAAATGGAACCTATAATTGTGAAATTCCTTAAATATAACTTCAAGACGGTTATCTAACGTCTAGAAAAATTTCAAAAAAATTTTTTTTTAATTTTAAAGTTGTTGACAAAGGAGCAATAATTCGACATTCCCAGACATAAAATTCCATAAGTTTTTAATTACTTAATCAAAAATTCTCAAATTTTTAGAGCTATTAGCTAACACTCTTAACTATATTTCCACAAATTTTCAGCTTTCTAGCTTTTAAACTGACTATTTTATAAGGCTTTAAAATCCGCCCACGCCCTGTTTTTTCGCGCCCAAACATCCATTCTCATCATTAGCCAATTTAATTAATTGTACATCATTACATTTAAAATAAAAAATATATATTTACGTAAATATGTATTTATTAATATATTAATATAGAAAAAATAATAAATTAAAAAATTGCCGGCAAATTAAAAAATAAAATAAGAAACCATAAATAGAAAATTGTCACAAAATCTTCTCCTCTATATAGAAAATCCTTAATAAAATAAATAAATCCTTCACTAAATTCGTTAAAACGATTTTTACATGCAAACTATAAATAATAAACTTATATAATATTATTATCGTCATCAAAAAAAATTTTTTTTGAATTTTTAATAAACAAATTAAAAAAATATTTTTTGCATTTTTAAAGATATTTTTATTTAATTGGCGTAAATTTATTTTTTATTTAGGGGATTTATTTGTACTTTTTTTTGACTTTATTTAGATAATATTTAAATAAACAAGTAATGTACTATATTACGTAAATTAATAAATAAAATAAATTAAAAAAAATAAATTTTGTTAGGAGTAAATAATTTGTATTGGGGAGAGATGGGGTAGTAATGAGAGGCGTAAATTTAAACTTAAGTTTACAATCTTAATGTTTTAAATAAACTTAAGAGAAATAAACAAGTTTGGAATAAGTTTTAAATAAACTTGCTCATAAACTTAAGTTTGCAACAAATTTTAAATAAACTTGAAAGAGAAAAACAAGTTTGAATTAAGTTTAAATAAACTTGCTATATTATAAACTTAAGTTTGCAACAAGTTTTAAAAATAAACTTGAATTAGTAAAAACTTCTGCAACCTTTTAAATAAACTTGTTTAACAACAAGTTTAAAACTTGTTTTGTTTAAACAACAAGTTTTTAGAACTTTGCAACAAGCTTAAAAATAAACTCTTGAAAAACTTAAGTTTGCAACAAGTTTTGAATTAAAAATAAACTGAAGTTTACAACTCCACTATTTTTAAGTTCCAAAGAGACCCAGGAAAACGAACTAAAGTAGAAATAAAATTAGGTATTTCTTAAAAATAATTTATTTAATTTTGAAAATTGTATACAAAAATCAAAAATATAAAGAGTCAAAAATAAATAAAACGAAAAAATTATTATTATTTATTTTCTTCACTATTATTTAAATTTTCCAAAGTTCCCAATCCAAACTCAACAACAAATAAATTTTCTTTCCTTTCCTCTTCCTTCAATTCTTCCTCTTCCTCCTCTTCTTTAATAATTATGTGTGTATCTGTAGATTGTTTAAATGACCATTGATGAAGTTCATTTGCTCCTACACACAAAGAATTTGTATCGTCTTGAATTCCTCCCCCTCCAGATATTTTTTTCAGTGATAATTCTGAGTGAAAACCTCTTCGTCTTTTTTGCCATTTTCTTTAAATTTTAGAAAAAAAATTTTTAGAAAATTAAATGAAAAATTAAGCGAAAGTCCGCAAAATGGAGGTGTGACTCTCTTTATAAGCTATCCTCTATTTTATGCTCTCTATATAGCGAACTATTTTTCAGTTAATGGAAGTTATACTAGAGGTCTTATAATTTAAAGAAAAAATTTTTTTCAAAAAAAAATCTCCCACTTTTTATTAGAAGCTGCCAAAACAGCATCATGTATTGTTGGGTAAAATTGCTCTTTTGGAACAGAATTGAAAAAATTACAGGATTCCAACATATCGCGAACTGGAGCCTTTGCACCAGCAAAGAGTACATTAATATTTAATTCACAAAGTTGATGAAATAACTTTAAATTTTATTTAAAAAATTTAAAAAATTGAATAAAAAAATTTTACATCAGCTAAAGCATTAATACTTGTATAATCTACAAAAGTAAATCCTGTACAGTCAACTATAAGGCTTTTAACACCACTTGATTTTATTCTTCTTTCCAACTGTTAAATTGAAATAAAAATAAAAAAATAAACTTTAATTTGTAAAATTTCAAATTTGTAAACGCAAAGTTTTTAGGATTTAATAAAAATAAACTTAAGTTTACAAAAAATTCTACTAAATAGAATTTGTAAACTCAAGTTTATTTTATATTCCAAGTTTATTTTATTTAATAATTTAAGTTTGTAAACTTAAGTTTTTGCATATATAAAACTTAGTCTATAAACAGTTTTAAATAAACTTGTAAATAAACTTAGTTGTAAAAACAAGTTGTAAAAATAAACTTGAGAAAAATAAACTTGTTTATAACTAAGTTTTAATTTGCATAAACTTAAGTTTGCAAACTTAAATTATTAAATTAAATAAACTTGGAATATACATAAAATAAACTTAAGTTTATAAATTCTACATATTTATAGTAGCTTTTTAAACACAAGAATTTTTAATGCGTTTAAAAAGCTCTATTTCATAATTTGCGTTCAATTCCCATTTAATTTATTTTTAAAATATTTTGTTGTACCAAGGAGTGTGTATTCAAATCGAATTTCTTTATTTTATCACTTTTACGAGTTCCATTAATTTTAAATAAATTTTTATCACGACTTGAACCATTAATAGTAATATTATTATTATTGCTGGGAATTGAAGGAGATTCTGTAAGAATTGCTGTTATTGCCGATTTGGCAAAATGGTCAACATTTGTAAAAAGCTGAAAAACTTGAGGGAATTTAATTGTAAAAAATTTTAAGATTTATTTTTAACAAAAATTTTTCAAAAATTTTATAAAATTTCAAAAAAATCCCTAACCAAAGGAGCATCAAATCTAAAAATTTTAATTCCATGTCCAAAAGGTGTAAACCTTTTATATCTACCAGAATCTCTATAATTTTCTGTCCCAGTTAAATTAGAAAGTAAATGCCATCGAGGCCATTGAATTCTAAATATTGTTGTTAATAAAGCAAAGGTAACGGCTAAAGCTAGGCCTTGCATAACATTGAGAAGTATTGTGGCAAATATTGTTACAATCCAAATTAGCTTAAAAAAATTTTTTTTGAATATTTTAAAAAATTTTGAGATTAAGTTTATTTTTCTCAAGTTTATTTTAAAAAACTTAAGTTTACCAATTAACTTAGGTACTTTTTTTCTCTTTAAATTATTTCTAAGAGTTAAACGCTATCGTAACACAAAATATTTTTATTTAAAAAAATAAAAATTTACAAAATCGATTTTAGAGACCCTCCATAAATGCAAAAATTCTCTAGGAATTTTTTCAAAAGCACATTTCATTGAAAAAATAATTATTACTGCCAAAATGCAAACAGGTAAAGAAGAAAGTATTGGGCCTAACCAAAGAATTACTACAAGTAAGAGAAGGCCAGTAATTAATCCAGAAAACTTGAAAATACAATTAAATTAAAAAAAATATTTTTTTAATTTACTTGTGTTTTAGCTCCACATTCAACATTAAGCATAGAACGCCCTAAAACGCTTGTTACTGGATAGGCGGTAAAAAATGATGAAAGTGAATCTACGAGTCCCAAGGCATATAATTCCTAATTTTAAATAAAATGTTTTATAAAATGAAGTTTATACGCAATTAAGTTTAAATTGTTTTACAATTGTAAAAAAACAAGTTTATTTAAAATAAGTTTTACAATTATTTAAATAAACTTCTCCAACTTAACTACATTTAAACAAAACAAGTTTAAATAAACCTGTTTTAAAACAAGTTTATTTAAAGTTTATTTACTTGTTGTAAAACGAAATTATTTATTGAAAATTAATTGTAAAAACAAGTTTATTTAAATCAAGTTTTACAACTGTTTAAACAAACTTTTCCTTAAATAAACTTGTTTTAAAACAACTTCCATTAAAGTTTATTTAGTTGTTGTAAAACAAGTTTACTTAAGAAAGTTTATTTAAAACAAGTTTATTTTAGTGAACATTAATTATCAAAACAAGTTTTAATGTAAATTATTTGTTTTACAATTAAGTTTAGAAAACATTTAAACATAATTGTAAAATATTGTAAAACAAGTTTATTTAAGTTTGTAAAAATTAAATAACAGGAAAATAAAGTTTACAAACTTGAAAAAATTTTAATTAAAACCCTACCACATTATTATCAGTTTTTGTACCCATTCTTCTATTAAAAACTTTACACATGGATAAATGTAAAGCAACTGAAACAAAAGCAATTTCTAAAGCATCGCCAAAAACATAAGGTAATAAATCTAGTCGAGGGAGACGAGCTTCTGGTAAACTTAAAAAAAATTTTTTTTTACTTAATATTAATTAATTTATTTTAAAATATACCCAGTTGGAACAAAATTCAAAACGGTCACATTAAAATTGTCTCGTAAATTGGCAAAAGAAGAAACAGCTGTAGCTAGTATTACAAGCAAAAGTTCAAAAGGAATAACAAAGGGTATTAGATATCCAAATTTTGGGCTAAAAACGTCTTTTCCCAAATAAAGAAATGCAAAACCAAATATTGATAGGAATAAAACAATTAAATTGACTTCAGGCAATTTTTGAATGAGATTGAGAAATATCTGTATGGAGAAAATGGGGAAAAATAATTAAAAAAAATTTTCTTCAAATTTTAGAGACCCTCTGTATAGGTGAAACAAGTTAATGCGAACGCCCATAAAATAGTCAAATAAAAACCTAAAAAGGTGAAATTTTGCAAAAATATCTTCAATCGAGTTAACTAAAAATTCTAAAAATTTCAGAATTTTTGGAATATTATTTCAGAACTTATGGGCAAAAGTATCAGAATTTATGAGGAAAATGTCTACCTTTGGTAGTTTTTTGGCCATAACTTGTGAAATATAAAATCAAAAATTCTGAAATTTATAGAGAAGTTGGATAAGACTATTAAAGATATATTTACAAAATTTTGTGGATATAGGTACATTTTTGACTATTTTATAAACGATCGGTCAGGCTTAAATTGAGAAAGGGCTTCAATAAAAATAGGAATAATTTACAAATAAATAAATTACTAAAAAAATAAAAAATTTAATTATTTCAAAATATTTTTTGATTGAAATCAAAAATCCTCACAATATACAAATATCCAGGCCCTCCAACTTGCCCCAAATTTAATTGAAGTAATTTGCCTAATTGAACACCAACTACATGGACTGCAGCGCCTGTACAAAATCCATTAACTAATTGATCTGATAAATATGAAGCAAGAAATTCTACTCGAAGTATAGCCATTGCAAATTGAATTAAACCGGCAGTTAAAGTTATTGTCTGATAAATTAAAAAATAATTTTAGAGAAAGAAAAACAAAACTATAAATAAATAGAAATATAAAACACAAATAAAATACAAATCAGAAAAACACAACATAAAATACAAACAAAACAAAAATACAAAACGGACAACAAAACAAACAATAAAAACAACAAAAGAAATAAAGCCAGAAAACAGAAAAACACAACAACAAAGAATAAATCAGAACAACAAAACAACATAAGCAAGCCAAAGAAAAAACAACAACAAACAAGAAACAAAACAAGAGAAACACAAATCAGAACAAGGAAAAAAGAAAAATACAAAAACAAAACGAACAACAAAAACAGAATAAAATAATAAAATACAAAACAAATCAGAAAAACTCAGAAAAACACAACAACAACAAAAAGAAAACACAACAAAACACAACAACAAAAACAGAATAAAACAATAAAACACAAAACAAATCAGAAAAACACAAAAACAACAAAAACACAAAAACAAAATGAAACACAACAAACACAAAACAATAACATCAAAAACAAAATAAGAAAACAAAACACAACAAAACACAAAAACAAAACGAACAACAAAAACAAGAATAAAATAATAAAACACAAAACAATCAGAAAAACACAACAACAAAACACAACAACAAAACACAACAACAAAACAAAACACAAAAACAACAACAAAACACAACAACAAAACAAAACAACAAAACAAAACAAAGAAAACAACAAAACACATATATAATTCAAAACTCTACTACCTGAACTAATTCACTATATCCAACTTCAACTCTCGGAATTAATTTTGTCATATTTGTCAAAGTTAAAAAATTATTTTCTTCTCCAATTTTATTATGACTAGCATCGTCTAATAATTTTATTTCTGCTTCAAAAAATTCTTTATCAAATTGAGCATAAATATCTCTACAGGAAATTCCAGTCATTAAAGCTAATATAGCAAAGGGGCCTAAAAATTCAAAGAAAAATTTATTAAAAATAAATTTTGGGATCAAATGTCATCCTAAATTTTCTAAAATAATCAGAATATTTATCAGAATTTTTTTCAGAAAAGAATCAGAATTTATTATCAGAATTTATTTTTTAATCAGAATTTCTTTTACCAATAGAAACGTGTCTTGAAGTACCAAAAATAGCATAAAACAAAACAGAAAAGAAAGAAGTGTAAAGGCCATAAACTGGTTCTAACCCTGCCAATATTGCATAAGCAATGGCTAAAAATTAATAAAAAATTAAATTAAAAAATATTTAATTAAAATATTTAAGAGCGTTTGGGCGCCTAAAAATTTTGGGCGCGCGACTTAAAATTTTCATTAAGTCAGTTATCTTTAATTCTGAAATTTTTCTCAGATATTCCTCATAGATTTAGCTAACTCCTCAATAAATTTCAAAATTTTTCATTCATTATTTCAAAAGTTATGGCTGATAAACCACTAAAAACAAGCATTTTCCCCTATAATTCTGACGCTTTTGACCAGAATTTCTGAAATAATAAATCGGAAATTCTGAAATTTTTCTCAGATATTCCTCATAGACTTAGCTACTTTCTCAATAAATTTCAAAATTTTTCATTCATTATTTAGAAAAATTATGGATGATAAACCTCTAAAAATAGTCATTTTCTCCTACAATTCTGACATTTATGACCAGAATTTCTGAAATAATAAATCGAAAATTCTGAAATTTTTAGAGGACATAGATATTCATATGAGGGATTTATTTACAAAATTTTATAATTTTATATGGTCAATTCACTATTTTATAAATTAACTTTAGACACTCCCCTCACCTTGTGGAACGTGGACAACACCAACAGTAATACCAGCAATAAAATCCCCAGCCAAATTTTCTTTAAAATTGTAAGAAGGTAACCAACCAAATATTGGAAGAAAAGAAAGAAAAAAGTGGAATAAATCAGAAAATGAGCAAAAACATTGAAAATAATCAGAAAAAAATTTTCGAGTGAACAATTGCCAACTAAACCTTTTTGGTGGAATAAATTGAAAAAGTTGATCAAATTCTTGCTAAATTGAGAGAAAAAAATGAGTAAATAATTTTTAGGAGTTCAAAACGGATTTGTTTAATTAAAAAATTTTTTTTAATCAAAAAAAATTTTTTTTTAATTTTCTTAGGAAAAATAATAAAATTAAGTTGCGACTAACATAAGTCTAAATAACGTCCAGGCGTAATTTCATAAAAAATCCGAAAGATGACCATTCACTATGAAATTTTCCCCAGATTTAGTTAACAGTCTTAACTAACAACCCTATAAATTTCAGAATTTTTGGTTTTATATTTCACAAGTTATGCCCGAAAAACTACCCAAAAGTCGACATTTTTCTCCAAAATTCTGATACATTTGCCCATAAATTCTGAAATAATTTACCAAAAATTCTGAAATTTTTAGAGAGTAAATAAAAAAATATTCTCTCATTATATTCTTCAAAAATAACCACACCTGATTAATATAGGTAGTCCGAATAGGCCCCAATTGTTGTGGATTATTAGGCGTTGTTTGTGTATTATTTAAAAAACTTGAATTATTTAAATTTGGTAAAGGGGAATTAATATTATTTTCAGCAGGTTGTTGTTGTTGATTAGAGCTAGTTTCTATAGGTGAATGTTGATCCAAATGAACAGGAACACTTGTATTCTTTTTTGGGAATGGCATTTTGATGAAAATAAATAAATAGTTATATTTTAAAAATAAAAATTAAATTAAAAAAATTAATTAAAAATACGAGACTCTAATGGCTTAAAAACAAGCTTAAAAATAATTAAACTTATCCAACTTAGGTATTAGAAAATAAACAAGCATGTTTCTAAACATTAAAGAAAAGAGAATTGTAAAACTTGAAAAAATAAACTTGAAAATAAACTTGTTTTTGTCTATCAACTTTTTTTCAAGTTTTAAAACCAACTTGTTTTTAACCAACTTGTTTTTAAAACATAAAAATAAACATGTTTTTACAACTTGAAAACAAACTTGTTTTAAAACTTATAAACAAGTTTATTTTTTAACTAAAACAAGTTTATTAATTAAACTTGAAAAAATAAACTTGAAAATAAACTTGTTTTAAAAACATAAAAACAAGTTTATTTCCAGCTAAAACAAGTTTATTAATTAAACTTGAAAAACAAACTTGAGCTTACAAACTTAACTTTTTTCTCTAAACAAGTTTAATTTTGCCAATTAAAAGAAAGTTTCATGAAAACTTAAGAGTGCAAACTTAAATAATATTTATTGAGGGAAAGCTTAACAAGAGAAAAGAAAAAATCGATTCAGAGGGGGAAATTAATATTTTTAGCTTCAGAAAATGTGCTTTTTGTGCTTTTAAAATTAAATAGAAATAAATAAATAAATATTATTTGGAAAATAATTTTTTAAATTAATTCTTGTTATTTTCTGCTGTGGAGGGGGATTAGCACTTAGTAAATATAAAGAAAAATTTTAAAGTAGAGAAATAAAAATTTTTTTAATTTTTGCAATTTGACTCTCTTCAAGTTAATAATAAATAAATAGAAAAATGGATAAATGAAAAGCAAATAAAAAAATAAAAAATAAATAAGAGACAAAAAGAGCCATTCTTCGATTCTACTCAATGAAAAATAAAAAAATAAATGGATGTTCTTAGAATTAAAATTAATTGCCTAGTTGAGTCTGGGATTAAAAAAATCCCGGGATTTTTAAAAATTTTCAAAAATCTCCAAGATTAATTAAAAAAATATTTTTTAAAATAAGAGTAAATAAGTTGTGTTTTTATTGACTAAAAAATGAGTAAATGTGTGCAAAGCTTTAAAAAAAATTTTTTTAGGAAAGAGATTTTTTGTAAATGTGTTGAGATTGTTGTGGCTATGCTTCTTCTTCCTTTTTCTCTTTTAAAGTTTGTTTTTTTAAAAATATGATGAAATTAAGGGAGGGAATAAAATTAGAGAAAAATACACAAAACTTGAAAACCAACTTGTTTAAAAACCTCAAAACAAGTTTAATTTTAATTAAACTTGATTAAATAATAAACTTGAAAATAAACTTGTTTTTGTCTACATATCAACTTTTTTTTTCAAGTTGTAAACGCAACATGTTTTTAGAACTTAAAATTAAACTTGTTTTTATAACTTGAAAACAAGTTTAATTTTTAATTAAAACAAGTTTATTAATTAAACTTGAAAAACAAACTTGTTTTTGTCTATCAACTTTTTTTCAAGTTTTAAAAACAACATGTTTTGACAACTTAAAAATAAACTTGTTTAGAACCTCAAAACAAGTTTAATTTTTAATAAAACTTGATTAAATAATAAACTTGAAAATCAACTTGTTTTTAAAACTTGAAACAAACAAACTTAAGTTTTTAAGCTTACAAAACTTGAAATTTAATAATTTAAGCAAGTTTATTTATAAAATTTTGAATTTATTTATTTTAAAAGTAAAAAGGATAAACTAATAAATTTTCACTAATAAAAAAAGAATAAAGAATATTTATACTTAAAGTACCGATATTTTAGAGGAAAGAAAAAAGTCCAAAAAATATTTATGTAAATATACAAAAAATATTTTTAAAAATATAATTGGGTCAGAATTAACAGGAAATTAATTTTTAAAAAGCATCAAAAAGACTATTAGACTCTGTTCGATAAATTTAAAAAATTGTTCTAAAATTTAATTTTAAAAAATTTTTGAAAAAAGTCGACCAGGGTCTCATGAAAATATTAAAATAAAGAACGAAAAACGTTTAAAAAATCTTTTATAAAAATGACAAAATGAGTAACAGTTGTTTTTATCGTTTTAATTTTAAATCCTCTTCTTTTTAAATCCTTCAACATTAATTTCTATAATTATAATAAAAAAAATTTTACTGAGAGGAAGAAACATTGTTAAGATATTAGAAACCAGAATTAAATTAAAACAAGTTTAAAATCAGAATTAATTTCAAACAAGTTTTAATTAAAACATGTTTCTTAGAAAAGTTTAGAAACCAGAATTTAATTAAAACAAGTCTTAATTAAAACATGTTTCTTGGAAAAGTTTAAAAACCAGAATTAATTTTAAACATGTAACCAGAATTTATTCTAAACATTCAGACGTATTAAAATAAAAATCAGAATTAAATTCGAACAAGTTTTGATTCTATTAAATTTTAACATATCATACTCAAGTTTGTTTAAAAGGCAAAACTCATTTGCCTTTTTAAACAAGGCAATCATAAAAATATAAACTTCAAAATTTATTGTGGAACAATTTTTATACTTTTAAAAAAAGCGGTTCGATATGGTTTGTTTGTTAATATACAGACAATTGCGTTAAATACAGGGGTAAAATGAAACCAATGATAAATAATTAATCTAATAATGTTTGCCATATTGTTGTTTGTTTCAATAAATAATATAATTAGTAAAGATGCAGCATGTTTTACGAATGGAACAACAGCCTAAATATTATTAAAATGTTTTAAAAAATCAGAATTAATTTAAAACATACCAGAATTAATTTAAAACATACCAGAATTAATTTAAAACATACCAGAATTAATTTAAAACATACCAGAATTATTTTAAAACATACCAGAATTAATTTAAAACATACCAGAATTAATTTAAAACATACCAGAATTAATTTAAAACATACCAGAATTAATTTAAAACATACCAGAATTAATTTAAAACATACCAGAATTAATTTAAAACATACCAGAATTAATTTAAAACACACCAGAATTAATTCAAAACATACCAGAATTATCAATGTTTTTGTTAATTGTTTCAACAATCTTTTCATATTTTCATCAAATCCAGTATGTGAATTAACGTATTTAACCATTTTAATTCCACAAATAATTATTATAAAATATGGAGTAATTTCAATAAATGATAGTAGGACAATTGACGCCATTCCCATCTTTTTATAAAAATTATTTAATAAAAAGAAATTTTTAAAATTACATCAATTGTTTTACATTGGATGTATGGCAATATTTTATTAAAATTATCATCAACAAATTGTTGAAAACCACCTTTAGAATATGGTATAACTGCGAAAATATCATCCAAAATATAAAATACATTTATTATTAAAGCAATCGAAAACATATAAAGATAGCGACGAACACCAATTTTCATGTTTCTGTTAAAAAAGTTTGTATCAAAATTCAGAACTTGAAATAAACATGTTTAAATTTTTCTGTTTTTATTTAAATAAATGTTGTGGTTTGGAAAACATGTTATTCTGTTGATGTTTAAATTATTTCTGATTTTTATTACTTGTTTTAAACAAATTCTGATTTTTATTACTTGTTTTAAACAAATTCTGATTTTTATTATTTGTTTTAAACAAATTCTGATTTTTATTACTTGTTTTAAACAAATTCTGATTTTTATTACTTGTTTTAAACAAATTCTGATTTTTATTATTTGTTTTAAACAAATTCTGATTTTTATTACTTGTTTTAAACAAATTCTGATTTTTATTATTTGTTTTAAACAAATTCTGATTTTTATTACTTGTTTTAAACAAATTCTGATTTTTATTATTTGTTTTAAACAAATTCTGATTTTTATTACTTGTTTTAAACAAATTCTGATTTTTATTATTTGTTTTAAACAAATTCTGATTTTTATTACTTGTTTTAAACAAATTCTGATTTTTATTACTTGTTTTAAACAAATTCTGATTTTTATTATTTGTTTTAAACAAATTCTGATTTTTATTATTTGTTTTAAACAAATTCTGATTTTTATTACTTGTTTTAAACAAATTCTGATTTTTATTACTTGTTTTAAACAAATTCTGATTTTTATTATTTGTTTTAAACAAATTCTGATTTTTATTACTTGTTTTAAACAAATTCTGATTTTTATTACTTGTTTTAAACAAATTCTGATTTTTATTATTTGTTTTAAACAAATTCTGATTTTTATTACTTGTTTTAAACAAATTCTGATTTTTATTACTTGTTTTAAACAAATTCTGATTTTTATTATTTGTTTTAAACAAATTCTGATTTTTATTATTTGTTTTAAACAAATTCTGATTTTTATTACTTGTTTTAAACAAATTCTGATTTTTATTACTTGTTTTAAACAAATTCTGATTTTTATTATTTGTTTTAAACAAATTCTGATTTTTATTACTTGTTTCAAACAAATTCTGATTTTTATTATTTGTTTTAAACAAATTCTGATTTTTATTACTTGTTTTAAACAAATTCTGATTTTTATTATTTGTTTTAAACAAATTCTGATTTTTATTACTTGTTTTAAACAAATTCTGATTTTTATTATTTGTTTTAAACAAATTCTGATTTTTTTTACTTGTTTTAAATAAATTCTGATTTTTACTGTTTTTACCTGTTTAAAACTAAATATCTATATATAAATTGAACACATAATCCGTTTGTATTTAAATTGAAAATAAATATGTAAAAAAGATTTATATAATAAAATAATAATGGATTGAATGTTTCCTTCATAAAATAAATCAAAATCCCGTCAGTGATAATAAAAATAGTATTTCCATCCTTGTCGCTTATATAAAACTTAAAATATTGTTTTTATTAAATTCTGATTTTGTTTTTATTAAATTCTGATTTTGTTTTTATTAAATTCTGATTTTGTTTTTATTAAATTCTGATTTTGTTTTTATTAAATTCTGATTTTGTTTTTATTAAATTCTGATTTTGTTTTTATTAAATTCTGATTTTGTTTTTATTAAATTCTGAT